TCTTGCATTACTAAATATTATTTTGTTTAAGTATGATTGGGGATAATCTCTTATTAGAATCACCATAATTATCTGAAGGTGAATTCAAAATTATTAGAGACAACTTTTGACTAGAATCATCACAATTATAAGAACGTGAGTTTAAAATTATTAGAGACAACCTCTAATTAGACTCACTATAATTATTTAAGATGAATTCAAAATTATCAAAGACAACTTTTGACTAGAATCACCACAATTATCAGAAGGTGAATTTAAAATAATTAGAGACAACCTCTGATTAGAATCGTCACAATTATTAGGGGAATTCAAAATTATCAGAGACAATCTTTGATTAGTATTACCATAATTGAAGGTTTATACTGAACTTGATCTAAGGCCTCTTTATAAAAGCTTTTGAGAATGCTTTTACTAGTTATGAAGATATTTAAGTACTGAGCAAGTATTAGAACACGAAGTAAGATTTATCAAGGCCTTGATTGAAGAACACTTCTAACAATTGGAATTTGAATGTGAAGAATTTAAAAAAGAAAGTGGATGATATCAAGATTAAAACAACAAAGTAGATCCATCTAAAATCAAGACTCTAGTATGAATTGGGTGGGAGGAAGAGTTTTTACGAGGAAATCAAACAACATTGTCAAATTCTGTTGAACAATAGGGCCTATTGGCCGCCCCCCTCCTTCACTTGGAGGCACATAGAGAAAGAACAAGAGCAAGTGAGAGAGGGCAATGCATACACCACATCATGACTTTCTCAGACAAGAGCTACGGATGCCTACTAACTTCTTGTCAACTGCTGAAGTTGATGACGGCCAATGCTTATAGGTCTTTCTACCACGTAGTGCTAATGGTGGGGGAACTACCATGGTTGACTAGGGAAGTTGTAGAGAGGTGATTGTCATTATGATTTGAGGAGAGAGAAGAGGACCCCTGAGGGTGGGGACTATAAGGGGAGTCTAAACCCTAAACCCAGAGAGAGGAGGGAGAGAAAGGGATAGGGAAGATAGAAAATCAGGGGCTTTGATGGTTCATACCTTCTAATGGACTCTTAAGGTTTGTTGGTGGACCACCACATGACCCTAGAGTGGACTGACCAAAAACACCACCACGTAACCAAACTTTATCAACTTCTAGTTGGGCCCAAAATCTCTCTCTCTCTCAATCCTTTTGTGTCTTCTCTGCGCCCCCCCATCTACTCTCATATGACATAACTACAAAGAAATTTACATCCATTGTTAGAGATAGAGAGGGTGCCAATCTAGCCATCATGTCATTCAACATTCATGTCATCCATTAAAACATTCATTACATATGTGAAGATGCACTCATGTGATTTGGAGTGAGTCCATAATCGATAGGAACTTACGTCAAGAACTATTGTAGTATCTGATAAAATAAAATAGAGGATGTTGAAAGCCTCAAAATTAGTTGATCAAACAAATATTTAAAATTACGAATTTATCAGATTAAAATACTAAAATAGGTAAGTATTGTGGTAAGCTCAAGGTCGATCTACAAAGAATGAGAATTAGGCGTTACTTAGTTACTATTTATTTTGATAGATAGATTTAAATCAAATCAGCTCAAAGGAGAGGCAACGGCAAGTAAGAAGAATGGTTTACTTTTCGAGTAGCTATTCCAAGGATTTACACTTTGAATCCACACTTGAATCAACCAAAATGCATATAAATCTTATGTGGAACCTCAATGGTATTTCATGCGAGTTGACGAAATGTCGGGGCATTCGAAGTTAAGTTCTTCCGCCCCTAAACGACGGCTTAAATACATAAGGGTTTATATGAGAGGATGGAAATACACGTGTAGGGCTGTGATTAATGAGGGTATTTCTTCTTTTTTGCCGCGATAAAATCAAGTGAGAGTTAGTTTCTTTTTGAGTTGATCTGAACCGTTAGATTTAAAAATCTTGTTGTAGTCGTAGGATCTTCTTAAATGGTATACTCCATCTATCATTGATTGTGTGGACATTCTCAACGACCTCTAATCTCCTCATTTGATGATGCCATGTGTCAACACCTCAGCCCTTGATTATGTCGCTCATCTCCACAGATCAGATCTTGTCTATTGAAGCATATATCGACTTCCTAAAAACCATAAAAAGATATTAAAATTTTTCTAAAATTCTCTCATATCAATAAAAAAAAATTATGACTCTAAAACTCAGAGAAAAAATCTAAAAAAAATCTAAAATATTAAACTTCATCAAATACTTAAAAAAATAATAAATATTTATTTTTTAATATGATAACATGCTATATTATAAGATTTAAGCTCTTTCATGTCATAATCAGCATGTTATTAGTATCTTGAATAGAGCAAGACTAGTTTCTACTATGTAATGAATGTTTACACTATTTGTCACCTGTAAATAATAATAGATCTTAAATACGCAAGGTTTGGGAACACTTATTATAAGAGGCATATTTCAAGGGCATATTTCAAGAGGTAGGCTGAGTTGGGAACAATATCACCCACTAAATCACCTAATATTAGAAATAATTTGATAAACTATATGATTTTACTTAATTAATTTTTCATTTCATATTTCATTTCATGAAAACTTATTGATTTATCTTAATCACTCAACTTCTACAACAATATATAAATTAATAATATTAAATAATCATTTAAATAGAATGTACTCAATGAATTTTCAAGAGTAATGAATCTACTCAATGAATTTTCATCTGAATATTTAATATGTTTATTTTTAATTATGTTAGAATATTTTCATATTTAACCTCATATTAAACATATTTAGAATTAGGCATAATTCAACTTTTTTAGTTGATCTATGTTTGTTTCTTATCATAAAAATATCATGTATTTAGTGTTTGAATAATCTCTCCCTTCTTATGATGGCAAAATCATACACAAATATCTCATATAAAAATTAGATGTATGCATAGAATTTAATGTGTTAGTAGGAAATTGTTCATGTGAGGAATTTAAATAGAAAAATTTAAAACTTGAACAATTAGACACGAATCCATATAGTAACTCCCACCAGCTAAGATTCATAGCATGAATGCACACAAAGGAATAATCAATTAGAACATGGCAAGATGCACTCATTGAAGGGAGCTTTTCACAAATGAATCCCATTGTGCATCATTAGAGTGAATTGCCTATGCTCTTGAGTCCCTTTGTATAGACTCATCATTCAATTTTGTGCATCATCAATCTATTAACATAATTTGTTCATCATCACAAATGTAGACTCTTCAATCTATTTTGGTCTTAAAGGAAAAGAGATATTCTTGAACAAACAATGAGTTTTAAAAACAGATTAAATCTTTTTGATGAGCTCAAAAAAGTATTATCAATATTTTTTCAAACTCAATGTAATTTTTCTAGTTTAAAATAATCATGTTAATCTTTTATATATTTCTAGATATTTATGGGTGATTTTAACTAGATAATATGCTAATATAGTGAGATTTTTTATCATAATTATACTAGAGTGAATCCTTCCTCTTTAAAGATTGTAGACATGATAGAAAACTGTGAATAAATAAGAATTGTGTTAATCTTATTAGTGGTTAAGCTCTAAACAACTATTACAATTGTCATCATTTGATTATTAATTTTCACATGAGAATTGTTGTCCCACAATCAACTAAGCCCATTAAAAGGGAGATTACGTTCTTGAATGAGTGAGTTTGATAGATCACAAACCGTCTCCCACTTCATGATCCTTATTTGTACAAGATTAGTGTTCTTCAACTTATTTCTTCTAAATTTGTGGCATGAAATTGGTAAAGAAATATTATTTTACCAAAATTGCACAAGATGAGCTAATATAATCTAATGTCCATGATCTCTTTTTGTATGTGTATCCACATAATATCGTGTTTCTCTCGCCATGCACTTCAATGTAACCTAATGTGCCAATTAGAGTCACTCTATCTAGATGCTCACGTTTAATTGTATCTTCTAAGGGGCTACTTTGGCAGACTTATGCTCAAGATGTCAATTTGTGGGATTTAAGTTGTTAAATAAAAATAAAAAATAAAAAATCATGAACAACCATTGGCTTTGAAGACTAAGTGAAATTTATTTAATCAAATGTCATGAATGTTTTAATGTAATATATATAAGAATGCTAATATTCTTGAGCTCTCCCACTGGGCTGGGCAAAACCTTCATAAAAAGGAAAATGGATGATATCTTGTAAGAGTTTGGTTTGATAATAGTTTAATTATATATATGTACATTCAACTGAGAGAAGTTTTTCGGTTTTTAAAAGTATTCATTTATTGACGGATTTATATTATGGACAAATTATTTAGGAAGCAATTTGTATGTTACTGGCCGGTTGGGATCCTCGGGAAATGAATAAACTTTCCCACTTACTCGTTTACCGGTGGCTTGTTAGTAATAAGGAACAATTTCAGGGTTAACGTAGAAGTTAGAGTGTCTAACGGCCCTGCCCACCACAGGTACCACACAGTTTTACCTTTCCCGCCGTAGCAGCATTGCTTTCTCATCATCCGCGGCTGGTTTTTAGGGTTTCTTTGTGTTCTCTATTTGCCGCCCTCCCACCCTCCCTCTCGCCGTAACATGACGGGGCAGACGCAGGAGGAGCTCCTCGCCGCCCACCTCGAGCAGCAGAAGATCGATGTGAGCTATCCCCACGTTTTCTTTTCTTTATATTCTCCAATGTCTTTGCCAGTGCGATAGGTGTGAGTTAGATTATATGCGATTTCCTCCCCCATTAAATTAATCTAGTTAGCAGAGTTCTTTTTAAATGCTTCCGAATCTGCTGTTCTTTTTTATCTGGATTTATGACATCTTCTTTTGATTTCTGATCCAAGAAACTTTGGACGTTGGCCAGTGAAGGAAGAAAGCTTTTGTAATTTCGCTTTTGTATCATATCATTTTCTCCTCCCTTATAAATTTCTGTAACTGGGGAGATGCGAACGAATTTTTTCTCCAAGGTTCGATCAAACTAGGTTTGAAAATGTTTGAATTTATCGATGAAGGTCGACAGTGTCGTTCGTCTTGTTCGCTCTGCATTCACTTGGCTTGTTTTGATTTTTATTAAGCTTCTTAATTCTTTGAAGCTAGGGGCTATTTCCATCTGACAGAGATTTTGTGAGGTTTATTAGCTCCATATGATTTAGAATTTGATCATGATGTGGCTTTCTATTGGCACATTCACGTTTGTCTCTTACGGGGGACTACTTCCATCAAGATCAACCATGGTAGGAATGCAGCATTTAGCGCCTCGTGGATAGACTAGTTCCGGTCTCGTACTGTTGCAAACTGACAGATCCAATAGTCTATCTATATTTTATGTTCCTTGCATGGTTTCTTTCTCATGTTTTTTTCTGAATTATATTTTGCCTTCCATCTGTTTGTCGATTCTGTTCTTGATGTTATATGCATGTTTCCATTTATTGCTTGCCAAAATACTTTTATTCATTATCTTTTTTGTTTAATCATTGATGCAATTCACATTGCCTTTGCTCCCCTCTTGGTATCTTAAACGGAAAAAGTCCAACATCAATGATGAACTTTTCCTTTCTGTACTATCTCTTCCTCCCTCCCTCACCTATGCTGAATTGTTCACATAACCTGTGCTCCTACTGTTAGCTGGATGCAGATAGCAGGGGACCTGAAGATCTCACAGAGTCAATGGAGCAGATGGGCATCTCAGAATCATCATCATCATCATCAGGATCTTCATCCATCAATTTCAAGAAGAAACCGGTGATCATTATCGTCGTGGGAATGGCAGGCACGTTCTACGTTTTTTCCCCATTTATGGGCTTGAATTAGATTCGTCCCTCATCAAAATGGAGAGAGAATGGGTGCGAGAGAGGGAGAGAGATAGTCGTCTGGAAGCCTCATCGTTCTTTCTCCTCCTCCAGGGAGCGGGAAGACGACCCTGCTTCATCGTCTGGTTTGCCACACACAGTCTTCAAACATTCGAGGGTATGTCCTCAACCTCGATCCGGCGGTGATGACGCTCCCCTTTGGCACCAACATAGACATAAGGGACACTGTCCGCTACAAGGACGTGATGAAGGAGTTCAAGCTTGGCCCCAACGGCGGCATTCTCACCTCTCTGAATTTATTTTCCACAAAATTTGACGAGGTACAATCCCTGAAATTATTTTTTTTCTGCAAGCCTTGTACCAATGTTTTGTCCCCTCATGATCCCAAACTTCCTCTTTTTTCTAACCAGTGGCTGATCTCTGAATTTATTTTTTTCCGCAAGGTTTTTACAATGTTTTGTCCCCTCGTGATCCCAAATTTCCTCTTTTTCTAACCAATGTCTGGATTCATCTTTTTTGTACAAAGTTTTGTATTGTCCCATGTTTCCTTCTTTTGCATGGTAGATCTGGAAATCGTTGTTGACCTACCTACCTGGGTTTCTAGGTCATATCGGTGATCGAGAGGAGGGCGGACCAGCTCGACTATGTCCTGGTCGACACACCTGGTCAGATCGAGATCTTCACGTGGTCGGCATCAGGGGCGATAATCACTGAGGCCTTTGCCTCCACCTTCCCCACAGTCATCGCCTATGTGGTCGACACGCCCCGCTCTGCCAACCCCGTCACCTTCATGAGCAACATGCTCTACGCCTGCAGCATCCTCTACAAGACCCGACTCCCCCTCCTCATTGTCTTCAACAAGGTCGACGTCGCCCGCCATGAATTTGCCCTCGAGGTTGGCTCTCTCTCTCTCTCTCCCTCTCTCTCTCTAATTCTCTGTATCTCTATCACTATCTTTGCTATTGTTCTTACGAAGAAGGATTTGAATGGGGGTAGTGGATGGAGGATTTCGAGGCGTTCCAGGCGGCGGTAGAGATTGATACATCCTACACAGCGAGCCTGACAAGGAGCCTCTCACTAGTCCTCGACGAGTTCTACAAGAACATCCGATCGGTTGGGGTGTCGGCCGTCTCAGGAGCAGGTGTGCAGGAGTTCTTCGAAGCTGTGGAGACGAGCGCACAAGAATTCATGGAGGGTTACAAGTACGTGGAGAGTTTGCTTTTTTGTATGCGTCTTGAGGTTTCGATTCATGGAGAGTTGACTTTTTGTGCTTCTATTCACGATGCGTTGACTTTTTTGCAGGGTTGACCTCGACAGGAGGCGGGCGGAGAAGGAGAGGATGGAGCAGGGGCGGCGGCGGGAGAGCATGGAGAAGCTGCGAAGTGATATGGAGAAATCAAAGGGGGGGACCGTCGTGCTGAGCACCGGGCTGAAGGGTGCGGACCCCACCAGAGAGGAGGAAGAGGAGGTGGAAGAGATGGAGGAGGTCAGGTTCTCAGAGGGAGAAGAAGAGGGAGATGAGGACGCGGACGGAGAGGATGAAGAGGTCTCCCATTTTGTTTTCTGATGTTGCAGAGGAGATAAACGGGTTTGGGCCAAACTGTTTCCGACTGACTGCTCACACAGCTGGATCTGGGGGGGACGAGGGGGTGGAACACAGAGAGAGAGAGAGAGAGAGAGAGAGAAGCGGGTTCTCTGTATAATATTGATGTTGCTGCTACTGTTGGTGGAATCATTTCCGGACTGCTTGTCCCTTGAAGATCTTGCTCTTGCTCTCTCTCTCTCTCTCTCTCTATCTCGTCTATCTTAGTGAGCCGGGCAGGCCAGCAGAGGGCACGCGGGTATCTTAATGTGTACTTTTCCAAAAATGCCGCGGTACGCCACTATTTTATGGTCCAACGCTTACTTTCTGTCGTCCGGAAAAGTTCTAATCATCGTCGATGTACACTCTTGTTCTTATCAGATGTGGTTAGGAAGGCCCACATTGAGATTTGACCGCCGAGATGTACATTGAGATGTAAACCTCGATGTTTTCTAGCGCCAACCGCCTTCCGTTGACTTTCACCAAAATTTGTTTGGGCCTATTTATTGGGCCGTCAAACCTACTGCCACCAAGCAAGTGCCAAGGCTCCATTAGTATGCTGTTTGACTTTTTGTACAGCTCGGTCTACACTCGGCTAGAGCTCATCATAGTTTTTTGGATAAGCCATGATCCTAATTGTTCTTCCGATCCCCTTCAAGAACATATTTATTCTTGGTATTTGTTGAGATTCGTCCCCAGCTTTGCGAATTAAGTTAATACGGCCCATTTTCCGGCTGATTAATTCTGTGTATTTAATTATTCGTCGGTCTCATGACGCTGGGAGCATTGACGTAACATGCATGGGGCATTAATATTGGGGGCGCGTCTAGTGTCTGTCGGTCGGTGGGCCGAGCCAGCTCGACGAGCGTGGACGACCCGATCAACAGCCCGGCCGGGTCCGGACGCCGACAGCGCGGGGCCCGGGCCCATGACAGTTCATCTCTCTCAAGTTATGTATGTATACATGTGTATTTCTCTCTCTAGAGTTCTCCCTGGGTCGGTTGGGCCCGGGCTAGACGGCGACAGACACGGCAAATTATGGGCCTGCGGTGGGCCTAAGGATGACAGAGCAGGGCGCGGGGGGGTGGGGGAGGGGAGAAGTTAAATCCTCCAACCACTTACACTGCTTAAGCATTCAATTGGTGGCCGCCGAGCGATGCGGAGGGGTGGGGCCAGCCGGAGGGGGAGGTGGAGTTGACCGTGCTCCCGGGAGTTGACCTGCCACCAGTCTTCCCCCCGCTTGGTTGGATGTTGCCCATCTGGGCCGGTGCCGTGATTTGGAACTGGTAAATTCCCCAGTTTGGTAAGAGAGAGGAAGAGAGACGTACATGCATCACGGATTGGAGGAGAGGATACAGGAGATCAGAACCTCAACGTCGGAAAACCTAATCAGAGAGTAGGGTCTCCCCTACTCTCTCTCTCTCTCTCCTTCTCCTCCTTCCAATGCCCGGCACCCCATCTGTCTTCCTATTTACTCTCTCTGGGCCTTCCCTACTATCACCGGCATTCCCTCTCTCCTCTCTCTCATCTATCCTAGTCCCCTGTGATCTTTCTCAAGGTTGGTGAGGCGCAACTCACAGAAAGACAAAAGGGTGAGAGAGAGAAATAGATAGAGAGACAGTAGAGAGAGAGGAAGAGAGAGAGAGAGAGAGAGAGAGAGAGAGGGAGATTGTGGCCTGCGTGCCATTCTCAACAAGCACGAAAGCATGCTACTCTCATAGACAACGTTACCTAACCCCCTTAAAAAAAACCTCGTCGATCGACTGTCCAGAGCCCAGATAAGTGCCGCAGGACGATGACGATGACGACGACGACGACGACGGCGACGACACCAAACCCCGCCGCCGGAGAGACGATGCGCCGCCACCAAGCTCCCCCGGCCCGCCTCCACCGGCGGTGCGCCGTCGTCTGCGACGTGGAGGGCTGCCTTCTGCGGTCCTCCTCCTGCTTCCCCTACTTCATGGTGGTGGCCCTGGAAGGCGGCGGCCTTCTGAGGGCTATCCTCCTCCTCGTCCTCCACCCCCTCCTCTCCTTCCTCTCTGAGGAGACGAGCATCAGAGCCATGACCCTCATCTGCTTCTGCGGCGTCAGCGTCAGCAACTTCCGCGGCGGCGCCGCCGTTCTACCCAAACACCTCCTTGGGGACGTGGGGAGGGAGGGGTTCCAGCTGCTCATGGCCGGGGAGAGGAAGGTCTGCCTCAGCAGGATGCCCAAGGTGATGGTGGAGGAGTTCTTGCGAAAATACCTCGGCGTGGAGGTGGTGGTGGCGAGGGAGATGAAGGTGGCCGGCGGGTACTACACGGGATTCATGGAGGATAAGATGGCGGAGGAGGAGGACGCTCTGCTCGAAAAGGACGAGATCGACCGAGAGCCGTTAGGGTTCACCGCCGAGGGGAAGGCCCCTCTCCATCCCCTCTTCTCCCGCTGCCAGGTCGGTGACTCTCGATCTCCCTCTCTCTCTCTCTCTCCCGCCACCCTGATTGATCGTCAGGTTCTTCTCCAATTTGCACCTCAACGCGAGCGTGAGAGAAAAACCAGTGCTTTCTTACGTTGGAATGGATCAAAACCCGGCCTCCGTCGATCGATCGTAGACAAAAAGAAAAGAAAAGAAAAGAAGAAAGATAAAACCCCGTGGTTTCTTCCTTGATTTTGCAATTCGTTTATTGAATCAATGGCAGGAGGTGGTGGCGGTGAGCGAAGAGGAGAAGGCGGCGTGGCGGCCGCTGCCGAAGGAGGAGTACCCGGAGGCGCTGGTCTTCCATGACGGCCGCGTGGCGTTCCGGCCGACGCCGCTCGCCGCAACCGCCATGTTCATGTGGCTCCCCTTTGGCTGCCTCCTGGCGTTCATCAGAGCCGCCATCTGCATCTTCCTCCCCTACGGGGTCTCCACCACCGCGCTTGCCTTCACCGGCATGAAGAACAGGCTGGTGCCGTCCCCTTTCACTCCCTCCCCCGCCCCCCGGCAGCCAACGAAGCCGACGGCGCCACCGGGGCGCTTGTTCGTCTGCAACCACCGGACCCTCCTGGACCCCATCTGCATCTCCGTCGTCCTCCGCGGGCCGGTCACCGCCGTCGTCTACGGCGTCTCTGCCCTCTCCCAGATGCTCTCCCCGATCAGGACCGTCATGCTCAAGAGGATCAGGGAAGAAGACAAGGCCATGATCGCCGCGGAGCTCCGCCGCGGAGACGTCGTGATCTGCCCGGAGGGAACGACCTGCCGGGAGCCGTTCCTGCTCAGATTCAGCCCGCTCTTCGCGGAGCTCGCCGACGAGGTCCACCCGGTGGCGCTGAACTCCGATGCGAGCATGTTCTACGGCACCACCGCCGGCGGGGCCAAGTTCATGGACCCCTTCTTCGTCCTGATGAACCCTTACACGCTCTACACGGGGGAGTTCCTCGAGAGCGTGCCAGCGGGGGAGCGGCGGAGCGGTAGGGACACCGCCAACCGCGTCCAGGAGGTCATCGCGGCGGCTTTAGGGTTCCGCCGCACCATGCTCACGAGGAAGGACAAGTACATCACGCTCGCCGGTAATGACGGGGTGACCCACAAGAGAACGTGAGGGAAGATGAGCAGGACGGCCCCCCCTCCTAACAATTCCACCGCCACAGTTTCTCGTCTCATACTCTCCCTTCTTCGTCTTCTTCTTCGTCGTCGTCTTCTTCTTCTTCTTCTTATTTCTTCTCCCTCCTCCGCAAAATAAATGTTCTTATTTTATTATGCTTTTATACAAAGTTCTCATTTTAATGTGGCTACGTAATTTCTTCTCTTCGAGAAATGGCCACTCAATTTTCTTCTCCCAAGCAAATAAATGATGGTGAATAAGTAGCCGTTTTAATGCAAAATTAAATGAATTAAATAAATGAATAAATAAATAAGCCTTTTTTATTTTTTTGGATGTTCTTGTATTAGTAATTCACCTTTTAAATAATGTGCAGGTTGATTGCATTGAGAAACTAATAAACCCAAGGTTAAACGACCACCTACTTTATTACATCTATTATTTAAATAAATTATCATTTTTACAGGGTCGGTCTTTTTTCGTGGTATTTTATTCTTTTCTTTTATTCGAAACATCCTCTTGCTAGCCTGACTGAGATGGGCCCCACTTACCGGTTCTTCATCAACTGCTAACCTCTGTTGTCTCCGGGGCGATCTCAGCGGTTGATCTCCGCCGTGCATCGGGCATCGGCCCCGGGGTAATCCAACGGACACCAAGGATCAGACGGGTTTACTGGGATAACTCCTGGGTCTCCAGTGAGACCGTTACCACTGTGCCTCTAAAGTGACACGTATGCACGTGATGACGTGGTCACCTTATGTCCACGTGGACGTTGGACAGCCGTTTGTTGAGTCGCGATTTCCAGCTCATCCGGCTCACCTTTGAGTGAGTTTGCTGACGTCAGCCCTAGGAGCGCGGCGCAGTCAGTCATGGGGTCGTTATGGGGGCCAGTGGAGTACGGGGGGCAATGTGGAGCGTAGGATTGAGTCCTACGTCAGCAATCCCCGTCGCTGGTCTTCTTCCAACGGCCAGGATTCCGCCTGCTCGTGGCCCTGGGCTTCTACCTTCTCCAGGTTCCCCTGCCGCCTTTATTTTTTTCTCCGATTTTCCAATTTTCCGCAGAAATTATTTTCTCTGCAATTCCGGTAGAATTTGTGGTCTCTGGGGGAGCTCGGATCTCCTGGATCGGAGGAGATGAAGGTCGCCGGCGAAGGTAAGGAGGTGGAGATAGAGTTACAGAAGGAAGAGGTGAGGGTTCTCAACGGGAAGAAGTACGGCGGCGATCAAGGCGACGGCGAGTCGGAAGGATGGCGGGAGGAGAAGGAGGGAGTGAAGGTGTCAGAGGATGGCGACGAGGATGATGCAGACGGCGATGATGGCGAGGAGGAAGAGGAGGACGTGGATGACGACGAGGATGTGCGGGAGATCCTTCAGTCTGGGGGCCGCGGCCCCCAGGCTGTGGAGGAGGAAGAGGAGGACGAAGATGATGAAGAAGAAGAGGTTGGAGGAGGCGGCAACGAAGACGACGACGACGACGACGACGACGACGACGACGAAGACGACGAGGAAGAGGAAGAGGAGGGGGAAGAGGAAGAAGAAGCAGAAGAGGAGGTAGAGCTTTTCTTTTCCTAGTGTTTTTTTCTTCCTTCGCGACATATGCAGGATATTCCCTGTTTCTAGGGTTTTATGTCGGGGTTTATGCGCCGCGCTGAGATCCTACCTCCTTTCCAAGCCTCTAGATTTCCGGCTCTCGCCACCATCCTTTCGCCGGTGTAGAGATCTCCCTCGCCGTCTTCTTCCTCTGGTTCATAGATCAGATCCTCATCTGGACAGATATCTTCTCATTCTGTAGTTCTGTTTTTGCGGATATTCAGATGCGGCACATCAATGCGATTAACGTCCTGTCAATCGAATGCCGCGGTCGTCGATCTGACGATCTTCCTCTCTTCTGAATTATCGCCGTCTACTCGACGATTGTTCTTTGACAACTGGTGTGACCAGCGATCTATGAAAGAAAGCTGGCGTCACATTTCCTCGAACCGGTCGTTCTGATCTGTGGAAAGCCATTCGAATCTCCGAAGCCATCATCTGCTCCCTGCCGGTCCACCTTGTTCTTCCCCATTCCTCGATCTGCAATCCGTCGTGGTAAATCATCCTCTGATCACAACCTCTTTCTGCGACGGTGAGATCAGATCGGTTCTCCGGATCCAAAATCCGCCACCCTCTGGAATGGGAGAAACTCATTCATTCGTGGTTCCCTCACTCCGAGGATCTGAGAAATCCTTCCCCCTTCTGCGGCCACGACGAACAAATAAGCACCATTTTCTTTCTTCTTGAACTGGTTGATTCTCTGGTTGTGGTTGCAGGAGCTGGGAACGGAGTATCTGGTGCGGCCGCCGGGGAGAGCAGAGGACGAGGAGCACTCGAGCGACTTCGAGCCGGAGGAGGAGGACCTGGAAGAGGAGGACCTAGAAGAGGAGGAAGACGATGACGAGGACTCCGGCGACGGTGGAACCAGCGCTAGGAAGGGGAAGAGGAGCGGCGGCGGGGCGGCGGCGGAGGAGCGGCCGTCCAAGCGGCGGTGAGGGGTCGTGCCGTGCCGCGTTGACGTTTTAGCGTTGGCCATTTTACGCGCACCTCCATGTCAACCCTTGGGACGGATGGGTCGGTGTTCCATTTTTATTTTTATTTCCGTTTTTGGGTTTTCTCATATCGGTGTTCCACCAGAGGACGGATGGAGTCAACGGTCGGTTGGTCTTCCCCCAGAGGACGGTTGAGAGAGAGAGAGAGAGAGAGAGAGAGTGTGGAATAGTAGGGCTATATTCTTAAGGCAGGTTGCTAGAATCCATTTTCGGGAATTGGATTCTCGAAATAACTGACTCTCGGGAACTCCGGCCGTTGTTGCTACGGAAACCCATTCCCAGAATCCATTCCGATAAATTCACGGAACCCGGTGAAGAGAAAAAGAGAGACATAACCCCCAGCCATTTTCGCCGGAGAAATCCATTCCCACAACCCGTTCTCAAGAATTCCTCTCGCCTCCTCACTCAGCCCCCGATTCAACTGTCAACCCGAGTCAGCTCAAGTTAACTTAACCTGACTGGCACTCGCAGTCGACCTCCCTTTGGCAGAAGGGGGTCACCGCAGCAACAAGTACAGAGAGAGAGAGAGAGAGAGAGAGAGAGAGGTCAACCTAACTGGTGGCATCACCATCGTGAGAGTCAACCAGAGCGGTCAGGAGGCGATCGGTCGTCCCAGAGACGGCGGCGTTGACGAGGACGTTCCACGTGGCGATGCTGGGAGCGATCTCCTCTTCCCTCATCCTCTCCAGGTACACCGCCGCCTCCGCCGTCCTCCCCAGCCGGCAGAGCCCCCACATGAGGCTCGTGTACGTGTACACGTCCCGCCGGCATCCCTCCGCCGGCATCTTCTCCGCCACCGCGGCGGCGCCGTCCACCTCCCCTTCCTCGCAGAGCCCCTGAATGAGGCTGTTGAAGGTCACCGCGTCCGGGGAGATCCCGCTGGCGACTATCCTCCCCAGCTGGCCCCACGCGACCCTCGTCATCCCTACCGAGCAGAAGCCATGGATGATCACGTTGTGGGTCACCACGTCAAAGGCCACGTTGCTCTGCTTCATCTCCTCCGTCAGGAGCGCCGCCGCGGTGGCGGCGCCGCCGCGGAAGAGCCCGGCGAGGAGCGCGTTGTAGGTGGCGGTGCTTGGTGGGGCGCCGCCGCTGGTTTTCATCTCCCGCAGCAGCTCCCCCGCCTGCGCCGCCCTGCCGGCGGCGCAGAGGCCGCTGATCATCGCGTTGTAGGTCACCGTGTTCGGCGGGCAGCCCGCGGAGCTCATGCTGCGCAGGAGCTTGTGGGCCTCGTCGAGCCTGGAGTTCCGGCAGAGGGCGTCGACCATGGCGGTGTACGCCACCACGTTGGGCCTGCAACCATCGGAGACCATCTGGTGGAAGAGGGCGGCGGCGCCGGCGGGATCGCCGTCGCGGGAGAGGGCGGCGATAAGGGTGCTGAAGGTGGCGGCGGTGGGAGGTGGGCGGCGGCGGCGGCGCATGGAGTGGAAGAGCTCGAGGGCCATGGCGGTGGCGCCGGAGTTGCAGAGCCCGTGGAAGAGGACGTTGTAGGCGACGGCGGTGGCGGCGCATCCCTCGGCCAGCATCCCCCGCCACACGCGCAGTGCCTCCTCGATGCCGCCGCCACCCCCGGCTCCGGCGAGGAGGGCCCTCACCAGCGGTGCGAAGGTCTGCGCGGTGGGGACGAAGCCCCGGAGGAGCAGCTGAGCAAGGACGGCCATGGCGAGCTTCAACTCGCCGGCGACGGCGAGGAGGTTGATGACGGTAGAGAAGGTCACCGAATTAGGCTTTGCTCCACGGGAGGCCATCTCCGCCAGCAGGGAGTTGACCTCCGCTACCCTGCCGGCTCTTCCCATGGCGTGGATGATGGCGTTGTAGGCAGCGGCGGGGGGCTGGAGTTCCGCCACCAAGGCCCGCGCCGCCGCGAGTTCGCCGGAGTCGCATAGGCCGGAGACGACGGTGGAAAAGCTGACCTCGTCGGGGGGACAGCCGCAGCCGGCCATCTCCGCCAGGAGCCGGCGGGCGGCGGCGAAGCGGCGGCGGCGACAGAGCGCGCTGAGGAGGACGTTGAAGGTGAAGACGTTGGGGCGGAGGCCCTCCTCCCTCATGTTCTGGTAGACGGCGGCGACGGCGGTGAAGCTGCCGGAGCGGAGGAGGGCGTGGAGGAGGTGGTTGTAGAGCCTGACGGTGGCGGCGCAGCCCAACTCCTGAAGGCGGTAGAAGAGTTGCAGGGCGCGGTTGCCGGCGCCGGAGAGAGCGAAGGCGCGGAGGACGGCGGCGAGGGTTTGCTCGCCGCAGGGGATGCCGGAGAGCTTCATCTCCTGGAGGAGGCAGAGGGCGAGGTCGGTCTCGCCGTCGAGGGCCAGCCGCTCGACGGCGGCGTGGAAGGTGAGGGCGTTGTGACGGAAGGCGCCGCCCACCGCAACGGATCGGAAGTACGCCAGCGCCGCCGCGGAGTTGCCCTCCCCCCGAAGCCGCCGCAGGACCTCCCGCTCCGCCGGCGAGGAGGCGGCGGCGCCCCCGGGTGTCGAGGAGAGATCTCGGCGGTAGGGTTGGGGGGGCTTCTTCTCCTTCTGCAGGGGCAGTAGCAAGAGGGAAGGGCCCTCCCGCAGACGGCGGCGCAGCATCGGCCGCCGCCGCCCTCTCCACCGCCGGCCACTGCGGCTGCAGAGGTAGCTAAGGAGGGTTTCGGAGGAATGGCAGCGAATGATTTCAGCCGCAGCCGATATGAGTTCGGGTCCACTGCGCCGTCGTCTCCCTTCACTTGGGGATCCGATATGTAAGGAGAAAGTAGAGATAGAGAGAACAGAGAGACAGAGAGAGAGAGACAGCAGGGTTTTGGAAACATCAAGGCCTCATCTTTTGTCAATACCCAGCAGTCCCAATAACATCCTCACGACCACCATGGTCGACTCTCTCTCTCTACAATGCAGGGCACCCGTACTCTATGCAGTTCTAGAAAAGAAGAGAGATAAGATAGCGAGAGAGAGAGAGATTCCCTCCCTCCCTCTCCCTCATATCTCCAAAGCTAAACAAAAGTCCGAACTTGGGCAATCCTCGCACATTCAATAAATCAGCAAAGTCCGAACTTACCTCTCCGGCAATTATCAATCGCCCGCCGCCGGTCAACGGAGTGAGACTCAGTGGATGACGGGCTTCAGCGGGTGGGCCCGCAGCTTGGACAGGTCCAGGTTGGCGTCCAGCTCCTCGTCCAGCTCCCCGATCACACTTCTGCAGAGAGAGAAATAATTACCATGCATCAGGTCCAAAAAATTCAAGAACTTCTGCGTATGAGGGGGGCAGGTTTCTTCTTACATGTTGTCGCCCCTGATGATGTACAAGCCCAGGACCAGTTGCTGGACACCTTCCTGCGAGTCAAAGATCTTCAGGTTACGCAAGAAAGATAGAGAGAGAGAGGGAGAGAGGGAGAGAGGGAGAGGAGAGAGAGAGAGAGAGAGAGAGAGAGAGAGAGAGAGATGCATTTATTTATTTACTCCTTTGAAGGGGATTCTTGAGCTAATATGGGTATCAAACACTATGATTTCCCCAGAAAAAATGGTGTCTGGCTTAGGATCTCGGATTTTAGAGTTTCGGATTTACAAATTGGGGTCGAAGGTCAGCTCTAGGGTTTAGGGTTTGGGGTTTTTGCTTTAGGGTTTTGAAAAATAGATTTTAAAAGTCTCGTTTTTTCCCCCCTCCCCCCCATTCAAATTAGGATTATATCATACAGCAACGAGATTAGCGTTACCTGTCTCTGGGCTTCCCAACGAACCATGAAAAATGTAAAGAACCTCTACAACTCACTCAGGCCCCCCCTCAAGAACCTCGGTCTGAATGAATCCCACAGGAGGAAACCTCCACTATATCCAGAAAACCCTGTAAGCTTCTCGATGCTGACATGCAGTGGGCCCATTCATATAGATACCACATGATATAAAATTTCCAAATTCAGTATCATCACAGTCGTTGGGCCTTCTTCCGTCAACCTAGGGCTTGTTAGAGATTCCCAAAGTCCAAGATGCTTCAAAGAGAGTTTTATTCGAAGATCTTGCAGATCCATATATATATATATATATGTATATAATTGTGAGATGGATTTGGGAAGCCTCTGACAAGGCTTGATCAAATTAGCACTTACCATTTACAAACTAGGTTCAGAAGATATTGTTTAACTTATTGACCCATCACGGATCAAGTAAACTTTCTAATTCGCTAAGATTTGTCCAAATCACAGCATGTACTAAACAGATCAGGCTAAATATCCATGACGAATGATGCCGAGGCTTCTCAACTAGTGTAACGACATGATGCTCGGTTATGTAGCTGTTCACTAGTTTTCCATAGATGTATGGATATGTATGTAAGACACAGCTAGGCACCTGCCCACTTGGAAGAGTCTAAAGATTTCAGGGTGAAATGACTGGAAACCTCTCTGTTGAACAGGTTATCAAAAGAATATGAAACCTGAGATAAGAAAGGAAGGGCAAACCTTTGTTGAATAGACTCGCTCGTGTGATTCGTCTAGAATAATGTTTGTGGCCTGGTCAAACCCTTTCAAAATTCCCTGCAGAAGGTGATGGCCATCAGAGTTAGCAGAGAAGCTGAAGCATGGAGATATTGCCATGAAATTTCTCTAGTTGAAACAGATGAAGCCAATCGGCCAGTTTATTGACTTCGCTGAAAGTTCAGGGAGGGGGAAGCAGCGACAAGAGCATCTGAGAATCGAAGACGAAGTGTCTGAAAATTCTTATTATATTGAAAATTTTGATCAATACTTTGGAGTACCACGTTGTCTGAGTCCAAAAAAAAGAAAAAGAGTATCTTCACCATTTACTGGAATTTAAAAACACAGACGCGATTAACTTTTCCTTTAAAAGAGATATGATTATCAACAACACTATGAGGAGTTGGAGAAGGTCGTGAAGAACGCTTCAGTACTCACTATAATATTTCTTCCATCATTAGTGATCACTGATATCGTTTCTGCAAATGGAAAAGATAAGATCAATGACTGACTTGAAAAAATCGCTTCAAGTTAGGAGCAGAAAGTCCCAAATCAGAACTAAAACATGGAAACGAGGTATTCAGACAGCGCATCATCGATGGTAGATCTCATAATTGAGATAAAGCCACTAAACTAAATCCTGATGACCGAGTTGACAGGCTACTCGGCAGGCCTGCTTAAACTCAACCATATCGTGTGATCTGAAAGCTGAACTTGAATGAAAAGAAGACATAAACATGAACTGGAAGCCACATACGATCTACAAGTGACTCAAGCCCTGGACCAGCAGACATTCTGGAACTTCACCAAATCCTCAGAAGCAAGGGGTTGACCCTTCAATGGAATCGCGATTTCGCCACCGAACTTTCTGTGCCAAACACAGTCACGTAGTTAGCACCTGATACAATGCAAGCTTCCAACAGAGTGTATATAAAAAGTTACTGCGAGTAAGAAAAAAGAAACGACCGCACAACCCCAAACAAATTCTCCCACGGATAGCATACACAACTCTCCTCCGGCGAAATTATGCAGACTGGAGGGTCATGATCCTCGTCCTGCAGGATATAGAAGAACATAAAACGAGGCACAGCTGGCTCGGCAAGCCTCTCCAAATGCAGCTCGCGCCTCCTCTCTCCCAGGCTGGCGATTCATGAACCAAGACAGCCTGCTCCAATAAAACCTCCGGAGAAAAAACCGTCCCTCCCATCAGAATAACCTGAATATGAACAAGCATATCGATCCCGCGCCCAACCCACGGCAGCCTGCTGACATCCCATTGGACCTTTCCTGCAACTTACCAGACACAATTCCCCAGCTTCCGCATCGATGGAAGCTTCCTCAGATACATACAAAACGACACCGAAGCCTAAAAATCGACCGAGCCGAAACGATCCTCTTAGGAAGGATACCATAAAAACCCTGGGACAGCTGAGAACAGGAGAAAAGGAACAAATCGAAGAGAGGAAAACGAGACAAGTTCCACAATGGAGAAGCAAAAACGCAGAGGGGGAAAAGAGAGGCGGAGAGAGAATACCAGACTGTTGATGCAGCGGCTGCGCGGTGGAGAGGAAGCAGGAGCCACCGTACGGTGCAGAGGGCTGGCTTCTGCGAGCAGAGGAGACCTGAGCCAGGGCTGGGTGGGGGAGAAGACGAGTAGGGTATTTCTTCTTTACCCTTATTGGGCCGGTGACGACTTTAAGGCCCAATAAGTATCTCTCTCTCTCTCTCTCTCACGCGCGCTTAATATTGGTAGTACTCTAAACCTCCCCTAAATCTCCTTTTTTCTCTCTCCCTTTCTCTCCTTCTCTTCCTCTTCTCTATCTCTCCTTCTCTTCCTCTCTCTATCTCTCTCTCTCGCGCTCTCTCCCCCTATCTCTCTCTCTATCTCTCCCTTTCTCTCCTCTATCTCTCCTTCTCTCCCTCTCTCTCTCTCTCGCTTGCTCTCTCTTTTCCCCTATCTCTCTCTATCTCTCTCTCTCTCTCTCTCTCTATCTATCTCTCTCCCTGTCTCTCTCCCTATCTCTCTCTATCTCCCTCCCTATCTCTTTCTCTGCCTATCTCTCCCTCTCTCTCTCTGTCCTCTCTTTCTCTCTCCCAACTTCTCTTCCTCTGCCTCTCTCTTCCCCTATTTCTCTCTCTCTGCCAATCTCTCCCTCTCTCTCTTTCTCACCCCCGTCTCTCTGTCTACGCTCTCTCTTTATCCTCTCTCTCTATCCTCTCGCTCTCTCTCTGCCCTCTCCCTCTCAGCTTCCGTCTCCCTACTCTCTCTCTCCTTGTCCACCCTCCCCCCCCGCCCCCTTCTAACTACGTTAACGGGGGCCTAAACATAATCTCTGGTTCATGGGGAGTCATCCTACAAAAAACAAAGATATGGGGAGTATTTTGTAATTTGAGCTGCCCCAGCGTAATTTAAAAAAAAAACCGTGGCGTCGGGAAACTCCGAAAATAAAAAATAAGAGTCGGCGTATTTTTTATTATTTCCACGGCGCCGAGATCCTCGCCCCCGAGAAAAATATAATTCGCGACGTACGACGTTGACATCACAAGTCAACGACATGTCAACCGTAGGCTCCAAATCTGCGGGGAGTCGTCGAAGGAGGCGTCGTGGTCAGACCGTCCTACTATTTTGGGGAAGCTGGAGAGGCACCGCCGGAGAAGCTGGCGGAGCTTAAGCGGCGCCGCCGCTTCTGCCAACTGAGCAACTCGCAGTTGACCGCCAAGTGGATGATGCCATGTGGATAAAAAATGAAAAATAAGTTGAAAAATATATGCCATGTTAAGCGCGTAATAATTTAAAAATAAATAGTAAATGAGATCATGTGGGAGGGGTGACTGTGCCTGTGCGTGTTGGGTGTGGCGGAGGTAGGCAACGAGGGAATCTCCTCTGCCCCGAGGGGTGTAGAGAGAGAGAGAGAGAGAGAGAGAGAGAGAGAGACAGAGAGAGAGAGGAAGAGAGACAGAGAGACAGAGATAGGAAGAGAGAGAGGGAGAGCTTTCGAAAAGGCCCCCGGCTTTTGGCTGGGATGATGGGCCCCATCGGATCTGCACTCCATTAATAGAGCGGGGGCATCCGCTCGATCGCAGATCTGACCCTCTCTCTCTCTACACACTATATTCTCTCTCTACTCTCTCTCTCTCTCTACGCTCCTGTCCCGGTTCTCCGGGCATTTCGTCCCATTTTCTCCGGCTTTCTTTCGGGCTGGCGAATTCCAAAGGGGGCGAGAGGACCCACGGGCGGGGGAGATGAGTTAGAGAGGGGGCCAGCGGCGGATCCCCACCGGCGGCGAGCAGCCGGACCGGAGCCATGAGACCTTGCTGGAGGCCCCGATCGGAGGTTGGGGCGACAATGGTGTGGCGTCTGCGCGAGCATCGGGAATTCCGGTAGTCGAGTTGCATTGTTCTAGGTGGGGGATCGGATGCGGAGGTAGAGGGTGATGGCTCGGAGCCGGCAGTCGATGGGAGTAGGGTTCTTCGACGACGAGGATGGGGATGTGTCGTTCGGGGATGGGACGTCATCGGTGGGGGAAATGTTCGGGAATGGCGGCTGCGGGAAGACAGTGGCGTCGGGATCGTCGGATGGGGACGGACGCATGGTCGATGACGGCAATATCCAGGAGGCCGAGTCCTCCCTCCGTGAGGGCCTCTCCCTTAATTATGAGGTCCTGCCCAGTCTGTCTTCTCTCCCTTTCTCTATTACTTCTTTCAGTCCTCGCACACATTTTGGTTTTCTCTTTGGCATCGATTCCTGAAGAAGAGTTAGTAATTCTGCGTATTGAAGGGATTTTGTAGTTCTACTTGTGGTACTTTTTCTCCACGAATGCATGGTGAATGATCGTGTGGGATGCCTTTCAAATCTGTGTACGAAGTCTGCATTTTCGCACAATAGATCGTTCTAATCTGGCTTGTTTTCGAAACAGTATCACTGTTCTGCACAAGAGGTTTACGTCAAAATAGGATGCCCTCATTCTCTGGTATTCTCCCGGGGACCAGTTTGGATGGGCTACGCAGAATCTGCCTAGCCTCCATCTTCATGTTAATGGCTTATTTTGTGCACAATCTGAGATCAGCTGTAGTTAACTCTTAGCTATTTTTAGGCTTTCAGTTGTCTTGGGAGACGAGAAAAGAGGATTTATCTGGTTTTCTGTTCACTGTTTCTCCTCTAGCAGGTCTGTATGAAATTCATAACATTTTGTTAGAAAGTAGAAACATGATGATCTTCTCTTCTGGTTGCATGGAATTAAGTACGTTTGCATCTTTTGAGAATGTGGAGACACTAATTTTGTGATCTCCTTTGCCTATCATTCTCAGGAAATAAAGCTGCAATCTAATTATGAGAGATGTGCGTGCATTCTTTCTCTTACATCACTCTAGTTTGATGGAAGAAGCGTACAAAGTTTACAAGATATCACCAGTTGAGGCTTTTAGTTCTTGAAAATTCTTTCCGTCTCAGCCAGATTACTTGGTTGAAGTTCAGCTTTGCTCCAAGATTTGTCACTTTTGAGACATTTGGGGGATGTCTGAAGATTGAGACTGCAGTAACTAGAGGCAAAGTCTTCTTTTGTGGGCTTCTTAGCTTAAATGCAGTGCGTAGATTTTGGCTGCTGAAAATTTGGAATCGTTATATTGGGACATAAGCAGATCCAATTGAATAATTTTTGGGTTAAAGTAGATTCATAGTAGGTTATATGTAAATTTATAGTATCTTATTGACTTGATTGTTGGGGAAAGTTTTTAAGGGTAGCTTATCTCATAGCTCGTATCAGGGTTTTAGTAACTAGCAGAAAATTCTTTTCGAGTTCTAATTGAATATTTTTATTAGATGAGAGGGGATAGTTCGTAAATACTACCCTCCCTTTGGAGGTACTCCTTTCAAAGTGCTATAAATACTCGAGATATTTGAGATATGACTGCAAGATATCTCTTCCTCCCTCTCTGTGTGTGCCGAAACCCACCTCTCTTCCCAACCTCCTCCCCGGGTTGCCCTCCCAACTGGCAACACCGGCACCACCGTGATCACACTTTCAGGTTTAATGCTTTGTAAGGAGAACCTTTCTGAGCCGCTGACTTAAGACGTCAGCAATACCATATTTATTGTCACCGTTTTGTTCCCTTTCCTAGTTTTCTTTTAATATCACAAATGAATAGACCTACGTACATCTAAATGTACCGGGAAGCAACATTAAATTAAAAAAATATATTGAAAGGTTTTATACATCTCAAATAGTATATGCGTTTCTCCAAAACCATCTATGTTTAACTTGATCATGAACTGTCAAGGTAAAATTATTTAAATGATATTGTGATTTCATGATAGTTAATTTCGTTATCAAATAAGCTTTTTCTCTCTTAGATGACTTGGTTAAATTACATTTTCCCTGGCATTCATATTGCTAAATGGGATTGATGAACAACTCTTGCCAGTTGGTTTTCTACTTTACACTTTTATGTTCTAACTAGCTGTTATCACTTATAAATACTTCAATTTATTGCAGGAGGCAAGAGCTCTACTAGGGAGGCTAGAGTATCAGAGGGGCAATGTGGAAGCTGCTCTTCGAGTCTTTGATGGGATAGACCTTCAAGCTGCTGTACAACGCTTGCAATCTACCTTTTCTGAAAAGCAACAATCTAGAAGAAGTCGATCCCGCAGTGATTCTCAGCATTTAGTCTCACAGCATGCTGCAAGCCTCGTTCTTGAAGCCATTTATCTGAAGTCCTTATCTCTTCAAAAACTTGGAAAAGTCACTGGTAAGAGCTATTTGAAGCTGGATGTCCTTTTAATTAAGTTAGTCTATAAGATTTAGTTACTGACGTCTAGGGTGCCCTTTTTTTGCAGAGGCTGCTCAAGAATGTAAGAGCGTTCTTGATGCTGTTGAGAAGATATTCCAGCATGGGATTCCTGATGTGTTGGTGGACAATAAGCTGCAAGAAACAGTTAGTAGGGCTGTAGAGCTCCTTCCAGAACTTTGGAAGCAGGCCGGACACTATCAAGAAGCTATGTCTTCTTATAGACGCGCTCTGCTCAGTCAGTGGAATCTAAACAATGAGTGCTGTGCAAGGATACAGAAAAGGTTTGCCGTGTTTTTGTTGTATGGTGGTGTAGAAGCTGGTCCGCCAAGTTTGGCTGCTCAGATAGATGGTTGCTTTGTGCCAAAGAATAATCTTGAAGAGGCAATTCTGCTTCTGTTGATATTGTTAAGGAAATGGTACCTTGGTAAGATGGAATGGGATCCGTCGGTTATGGAGCATTTCACCTTTGCATTGTCTATATGTGGTCAGACTTCGATATTAGCGAGGCACTTTGAAGAAGTCTTGCCTGGCATATATTCACGTACTGAAAGGTGGAATAATTTGGCTCTCTGCTACAGTGGTTGTGGACAGAACAAAACTGCCTTGAATTTGCTGAGAAAGTCTTTAAACAGACATGAGAGTCCTGATGATCTTCTGGCATTGCTGTTAGCTGCCAAAATCTGTAGCAAAGACAGTCTTCTGGCAGCCGAGGGCGTTGAATATGCACGGAGGGCTGTTGCGACTTCTCAAGACGCGGATGGATATCTCAAGGGTGTCGGTCTTCACTACTTGGGACTTTGCCTGGGCAAGCAAGCTAAGCATTCCTCTTCAGATCAGGAAAGGTCCCGCTTGCAGGCAGAGGCGTTGAAATCGCTTGATGAGGCAAATGGGCTGGAAAATCGTGACCCTGAGTTGCTTTTTGTCATGGCTCTTGAATATGCTGACATCCGGAATATGAATGCTGCACTTCGATGTGCTAAAGATTATATTGATGCGACTGGTGGATCCGTACTGAAAGGGTGGAGATTGATTGCTCTTATTTTGTCTGCTCAACAGAGATACTCTGAGGCTGAAGTTGTTACTGATGCTGCACTGGATGAGACCGCAAAGTGGGAACAAGGACCATTGTTAAGAATCAAAGCTAAATTAAAAGTTGCTCAGTCTTTACCCATGGAAGCCGTGGAGACATACCGATTCCTTCTGGCTCTTGTTCAGGCTCAGAGGAAGACTTTTGGTTCCTTCAGGAACAGTTTCCAGGTAGCTTCACTTTAGCTGCTCCCTAAGCGTATGAACCTAATCACGTATAACAAGGAAGAACGAGTCTTAAATACTGCGAGAGATGTTTTATTGCTATGGGCTTTCGTTGAATTTCATTATTTTCCATCTGATCTTCTCTGCTGATGCAATACCCTCACAAATGTACTCAATTGGTGATGAAAATGTTATCTTTATTCAACTGTTTCTTGCTGTGAACTATGCTTCGCCGTATATATCAACCCAGAACTTGTGAAGTCGCTTCAAATATCTGGAAGCTACAGTTCAGTCTGTATGCCTCAGATTGAACTGTAGCTTTAAGAAGGCAGGCTGGCACTGTAGTCTACTGTTTGCAGAATGCTGTTTATACATCCATAATCTTTGGATATTGCTGGATCATCTTTACTAGGATGAACTTTGTTATTCATTATAGCATCCTTACCTTGATTCCATGATCCCAGATCTTTCCACCTTAGTGGAAATTTTCAAAATAATCCTTGGAAATTTTAAGAAACAGTTGACTTTTTGTTGAAGGCATGCATGTTAGGGTAGATGGTAATGGGATTTTAAGTTGGAGAAATATCCACCCACGTCCTCAGCATGGTTTGCCGACACACCTACCCCTTCAAATAGAGCTGCTGTACGGAGCCCTCTCTTTAGCGGCCTAGCAAACTACTCTGTTCTGGAATGATAAATAATAATAATAATATATATATTTGATGAGGTTATTAATTAATCTTGGGCTGATCAGAATAGAGAGAAAGTGAAGGATAGATTTAGTTGAAACTTCGTTTCACAGTCCGATGAAATTACTCACATACAAAATACTAACCTCTTTCACAAGGGCCCATACTGCGTGAGTTGCTTTACGCCCTTCTTATAATATACGTCACCTGCATCATCTTGATACTAGTGAGGCCAAGAAATATAGTCCTGATTTTTTATTTATTTTGAAATTATTTTCAAAAAATCAGTGACTAAATTGGTCAACTTTTAAAATCCTGATTTTTCTCCTCTCTCTCTCTCGCTCTTATTTTTTATTTTATTTTTATTTTTTTAGTTTGAGGATGACAAGGTCAGCGAGTTTGAAGCTTGGTTGGGCCTGGCAGACTTGTACTCCAGCCTGTCGTATTGGAAGGATGCTGAGATATGCCTGGAAAAGGCAAGGGCACTGCAACCTTATTCTGCTGCTGCACTGCATGCTGAAGGTATCTTTCTTGTCAATCCCATGGGAATTCGAACATTTATATTATTTTGATGGAATCTATTTGTCCTAGTAGAAGAACAGCAATCAGATATCTGCTCAATATCCAGTTATCTGATCCGAATTTAGATCACATCATAATATAGAAAGAAAGCTTTCTCTGCATCTTATTATCATCAAAGCTATTCTAAATTTCTGGTCTAGTCTTTCAAGGCACCTTATCTATACTGCCTGCACTAAGACAAGACCGTAGAAACATGCCAAGAGTGGAAACAGTAGAGATAGAGAGAGAAAGAAAGCCACCCTACCCCCTTCTCCCATCCTCTTACGTATCTTCCTTGCTTGATCACCAATTACATTGAAACCAGAAAAAGATTAGCCACCTTAGAAAAAAACGACAGAGGGTAGGCAGCAGAGAGAAAGAAAGAAAGGAGAGAATCACCCTCTCTCTCTCTCTCTCTCTCTTTCACACACACACAAGCTAATAACTCTTTATGTTTTGTGCTGGGGGGGGTGGGGGGGTTATGGGCAGGTTCGGTGCTGGAGGCCCGGGGGCGGGCGTTGGAGGCGCTGGGGGCGTACGCGAACGGGGTGTCGGCGGAGGCGGAGCACGTGGGGTGCAAAGTGTCGGCGGGGGCGCTGCTGAGGAAGGCGGCGGGGTCGGAGTGGGAGTCCCTGGCGGTGGCCCGGAGCTTCCTGTGCGACGCGCTGCGGCTGCACCCTGCCAGCGGCGCCGCCTGGTTTAACCTCGGCCTCCTCCACAAGCAGGACGGCCGCCCTGCCGACGCTGCCGACTGCTTCCAGGCTGCCTCCGCCCTCGACGACTCTCACCCCCTCGAGCCCTTCAACAATCTACTCCCCTCCTCCTGACTCTCTCTCTCTCTCTCTCTCTCTCTCTACTATTCTACTACTCTCTCTACTCTACTCTCTTTGCAGGCGAGTGAATGGAGATGTCAGGGGATGGATGGCTTGGGGTGTGATCTGTGGAGGAGAGGAGGGGTTCTGTCTCTCTCTGGGTTCAATGGGGCTCTCTCTCTCTCTTTCTTCCCAGTTGACTTGGGGTGTCATCTGTGGAGAAGAGGAGGGTTTCTCTCTCTGGGTTCACTGCTGCTGCTGCCCTCCACGAGAACGTAATGCTCTTTGTACATGATTCTAGTGAGCTGACGGATCATTCCAGGATTGTCCTTTTTTTTTTTTCTTTTTTTTTTTAATTCCTTTGAATGGAGTCGCGTTTTGGGTTTCTCTCTCTCTCTCTCTCTCTCACTCTCACTCTCACTCTCTCTATCTATCTATCTCTGTTTTTAGCTCCCCCTCTTATCCTTCTCTGTGGTTGTGTGTGGATGTGGACGCTCGAACGAACTTAAATTCTGTGTCTCTGTGTGCCTCTCTCTCTAGAGCTCCCTCTAGATAGAATAATTTTGAGGCCGCCGTGGAAATTCATCAACATTAACAAGCCCCCTGACATGGCCAGGCGTGGGATTATTTTCTGATGCCTGATCATCTCACCAAACGCCTTCTATCGGACTCTTCCAAGTCAAAGAGGCCAAGCAGCATCTTTAGATATTTTCATGTATATTAAAAAGAATCGCTAATATATATTTGAATTCTATGATAATTTGTGCAGAAAATATTGATTTCAGAAATCTCATCAATAACAGTAGAAAAGGGTTTCTTAGACGACCCATGTGATAGATTGACTCATACTATTGAGACAATGAGGCGAGAGGTCAGGTAATGATTTATTCTTTTGTTTTGACATTTTATAAATAACTTGAATAATACTCTCATTTAATAAGACAGTGCACGGCTACGATAATTGATTACCCACATAAAAAATACAGCATAAAAAATCATACGGCTATTCTTATTATTATTTTTATTTAAAAATAAAAAATAATAATGGATTCAAATTGAAATGATGGAAGATCGGTGTAGATCCGCTTGTGCGGCTGGGATTCATCGACTTAAAGTTCGTTCTGTCTGCTTGAGGCAGCGAGGCGTTTAGATGGGCCTGTCAAGGCAGTCATGACCGGACTTCGTGCTGGACATTAATGGGCTCTGACCATGAGTAAGACTTGTGGGCCCCACAAAGAGGGCTGTCGAGCCCTTTAAATGTCGGGTTGCTTGGGGTTGGTTGGAGTGGTATTCTGTGGGATCGCTAAGTGCTTGCTTAGGTGCAAAAAATCAAATAGAGAGAATCATTTATATTTTAAATATATATATTTATTTATTTTTCTTAATGGGTTCTCCTTGATTTTCGAGATCTGATGGGTTGGTTCATCTAGCCATCCATGAACTAGTTGCACATCATGAGCTTGCATTTATATCCATCTTGAGAACCTTTTTTTCTGGTTGGTGATTTTATGTGAGTTTTCCCTACATTTTTCTGGTGAATGTATAAAATAACTTGAATTCCAAATATATCCTTGGAAAATGAGTTAACAATCATTCTTGGTATCTTATTATGACCTACATAAAGAAGAGGAGGGAGGGAGAAAGATGGAACCTTTGTTCATAGAAAGACTTGTTCAATTTCTCATTTCCAAATAACAACCACTATATAAGTTGAGAACCATATACAATATTTCTTTGAATGCCCCTTGGGCTACACTGTAATACTCCCACTCAAGATGAACTTTATTATGAACTTTATAAGAATTCACATCTTGGATAATAAAGGAAATAAGAGTAAAATAATAAACCCTGATAAAGCAAACTTGCTATGTTACCATATTATGATCTACATAAGAGGGGGAGGGAGAAAGAAGGAACCCATGTTCTAAAAGACAAAAGGGAGGAGTAGTAGAAGCTAACTTCCTCAGTTTCTCATTTCCATATAATACCCATTATATAAGGTGAGAACCTTATACAATATTTCTTTGAATGCCCCTTGGGCTACACCATACTATATCTTTAATAGGGTTTAATGTGGAGATAACTGAGTACAAGAAAATTAGTTTTATTGTGTGGTCAAGATAAAACAACTTAGTTGTTTTTTTTTATGTTAAAAAAATGGTTTATAGGGATTCATGTAGGATATACCAAAAACCACATGGCTACTTAAGGATTAATGATTATTTTTATTAATATTATTATTTTGGTTTTGAATGTTGTTGCCCCCCCCCCCCCACCTTCTCTATATCTCTTTCTCTATCTATAAATATACGTATAGATAGATTTAAGCTTTTTCTCTCATGAAATGTTCAAAACGTTATGGGATTTATTTTAAAGTGTTGAGCTTTTTAAAATCTCCCTCTCCCCCCCCCCCTCTCTCTCTCTCTCTCTCTCTCTCGCTCTCTCTCTCTCTCTACAGACATACGCACAAAGAGACATATATATAGACGTATTTATTATAGATTCAGGGATGATCATGAACACTATTTAAGCCAAAATTAGAACTAGACCCACCTTGAGTGCCACTTATTTCGTGGGTCGATTCGCCTTCGAGAAACATGATATTCACTGGGCCTATCTTATTTCCCAGATCCTGATGCTAAGTGAGGTAACTCAATCAAGACCAAATAAATGATCTGGGATCCCGGCTTCTTATTAATGGGCCTCTAATGGGCTGACAAAGCCCTGAACTCGGTCCGCCCCACGGTTGTCGCTCCCCCCCGGTTCCCAGCTCCCTGGCTTCATAGTGATCTGGCAAAGAGCAGAATTTGGAGGTTGGGGCCGATGGGCCGGCCCATAAGGGGTAAATGGGCTGGGCCCAAGGAAGCTCCGGCGCCGCTATTTCGGGTAATCTTCCTGTTCGTCATCATCTTCGGCCTTCCTCCGTGTTCGCGTGAGCTGGTTCTCCTCCCATAAGAGATATTGCTACTCTCTCTCTCTCTACCCATTTCCCTCCTCTCTCTCTCTCCAACCCTCTCCCTCCCCTCTCTCTATCTGTCTACATCTCCCTCGGGTTCAATGGGGCCAGGCCCCTCTCTCTCTCTCTATCTGGAATTGGTGATTTAGAGCGTCGTAGGGGTCAAGATTCGTTAATTTATAGTTTTGCGAAATGTTGGTGTCAAATTATCGCGGGAAATTGAGGCCCAGGTGGACCCAGGGGGCGGGGGGACAATAGGCATTTACGGGCCTGGCCGGGCCCTAATTACCACGACACGTCCCCGTCAACCCGCTCCGTCTGCGTATTCCTCCAAAGGAAACCAATAAACTATAAGAGTAGCACTGTGGGTGTCACGTGAGAAGTACTCTCTCTCTCTCTCTCTATCTAGAGTCAGTCTGTCTCTCTTTCGCTTCTCGTTCTCTCTCTAGAATATCAACTTACCATTACCATCCGATTCGCTGCAGATGCAGAGATCTGTCTAAGATGTGGACTGGCACGGTCTACGTACGGGGAGAAGGGGGGAGACGGCGGCGTCTTATGGAAGAGAGACAACGAACCGGGGGGGGGAGAGAGAGAGAGAGAGAGAGAGAGAGAGAGAGAGAGAGTTCTAGAGAGAACGGGGAGGAGGGGCAGGTCATCACGGACGGAGGATCTCTGCGGACATTTGGTGCGACGTGCGTTATGAATCTACCGGCCCCCGCCCCCGCCCCCACATGGGCCGAGCCGAGCAAGTTAATGCCGCAGGGGGTGTTGATTTCTTCCCTCACGAGGCAGAGCAGTCCATGCAGCCCCCCCTAAATAGAAACCCGCCCCCTTCTCTCTCTCTCTTAGACTGTCCCTTCCCCCATCCCAAGAGGTCCTCTCTCTCCTAGGTTGTCCCCAAGTTTCAAAGCTCGGCATTGAACAACGAGTCTCAAAGCTTGACATTGTGATACTCCCTCCTCTCCTTCTCTCTCTGTCTCTCTCCCTCCAGCTCAGATTGTCCCTTCATAAGGTTCAAAGCTTTGGACAAAATCGAAAAATATTGGATTGCACACGTAAGATTTATCACTCTCTCGCTCTCTCCAAGCTCTTCCTCTCACAAAGGCTTCCGACACATGATATCAATACCCGGGACCCATCTTTCTTCAGTTCGACAGATGCCCAACGTTCAATATTTCCAAGGGTGCCTAAGCTTAGCGAGAGAGAGAGAGAGAGAGAGAGAGAGAGAGAGAGAGAGAGAGAGAGAGAGAGAGAGAGAGGGAGGGAGGAGAGAGGGAGAGAGAGAGATCGTTATCTCTCCTCGCTTATTGTTGTGAAGGGCATGCCTTCCTCCTTTTTTACTCTTCTTTTGACCCGTGGTCCTATTTTCTAGTTAGGACGGAGGAGGCCACTCTCAGGGTTTGTCCCCCCCGCGATAGACATTACATTTTCGTCTAGGGTTTGCGTCCCCCCGCTTCACTCACTCTCCCTCTCTCTCGCTCTCTCCTCTCTCTCCTCTCTCTCTTTCTTCTTCCGTCCATTCTCCATGAGGGATGGGACTCAACTAGTCAAGGGTTTTTTCTTACGCCTTCCTGGCCTTGCTGCCACGTCAGTTTTGACCCGCCCCTGGAGGGGGACAGCGTGGCAAGGGTGGAAAGCGTGCCCACATGCGCACCTGTTCCCGATGGCTACTAACCTGCGCCGTCCCCACCTACGACTAGGTCATTAGCCACGTTGATTAGTAATTTCAATGCACTCGTGCTCTGCTCTACTCTTTGAAAAAGATTAAACGTTGGAGGAGTCCTCACCCAGCCTTTGAACCCACAGCTCCCCTTTATCAGCGCGAAGATTCCTATCCAGCTTGGGGAGGAGATTCCTTAAGGCCTGTGGAAGAGACACCCCTAGTTAATTAACTTTGGAGGGTTTACTGATTGGGTTAACTTTTGGCTAATCTAGTTATGTCTTCTTCATTAATTACCCTAATATGGTTCAGTACATTAAGTTCATGAACATACTCTGGTTAAATTTTGATTAACCCAGTTACCTCCCAATCTATTAATCTGGTAGGCTCTACTAG